CCAAAATAGTATAAATAGGTTCTCTTTGTAATTTAGAAGAGGTTAGATTATGGATTGAGAAAAGGAGAACAACTTACACTTGAAATACATAATTACTTGGGTTTATTTTCCATCTTTTTAGCATGTTTATGAGTGATAAATTCTTGTATGCAACATAGCAACTTGAATACACGTCATATCTATCTTTCCATATATTCACGTTTGTGATTACATAGTTTAGTTAAATTTCGACCGGGCAATCGAAATTAGCGCAATTGCTTTTGTTTCATTTGTCGGAACTCGAACATGTTTGTCTCCTGCCGCAAAGTACCCTCCGCGTCGATCATCTCCGTGCTACCGTCATCATTCCAGTAGGAATGCGCCGAAATCGTACTTAACTTAGCGTGAGTTGGCCCGACATCTGTTGGCTCATTTTCAGTGGTCAACACTAATCATACGCTTTTGAATGCTATTTTCCATCTGCCTGTCTGTTTTCTTGCTATTATTCACCTCAATGTCTTTATGAAGTTATTTGTGGATGTGAAATGATGGTGGGCACCATAACCAGCTTTGAGCCAGAGTCACTAAACCAATGCCTTAGGGCCTCCAATTGGACTTCCAAAGTTGGGGCCTCAAAAAAAGTTTTTGTTTCACTTGTTTAGTCTATTAGTTTTTAGCCCTGCTGCTTGTACAAGGACCTGCTTGACAGGTCCCTTACAGGCCCCTCACACATGTGGGGCCATGCTTAATTTTTTTTAAAACAATGGTGGGGCCCACCATTGTGTCTTGCCTATAAGGGACCTGTCAAGCAGGTCCCTGCACAAGCAGTATTTTTGATTGATTTTTATACTTAAAACATTTTCAATGATTAATAAGGTAACTTTTGAAATTCAATGACCCCGTGAAAACTTTACGCAAAGTTCAATAATCATTCAGATAATTAATCCTCATATCATGGTATAAAATACATCTTATAGAGAAACCGCAATCGAACCCTTAAACTTTAGTTTGTCTTAATCGGTCATTAAAATTTGGTTTAGCTTTACATTTCACCTTTTCATTACATGTTGTATCCAAAATTAATGAAAATTACTAGTTGGCAGCCAAATCATAAATAAATTTTCACTTAATTATTATATGTATAAGTGTTATGCTCTAAATCCAATCAATTTTGGATATAAACACTTTTAGCCCCTGTTTGAGCCACATTAAAATTAAAATTTTCATTTTCATTCTTCTACTTATTTTCAACCGCATATTTTTTAATAAAATAATATTTTCCACCACATCAATGATTGTTCCTTCTTTTTTAATCACACATTTTCCATCAATCTACTATTTTAAAATACATTCTTCCAAAATAATGTGACTCAAACACACCATTAATATATAATTGTTGCATTTTTATGACAAATCTATTATCTAATTAAATTAAATAATATAATTCATAGATTCAAATCTTAATAATTTGTTAATCACAATGAGTTGTGTGATTGTGAGATACAAATTACATATAATTGAATCTTAAATCATTTATGGCTATAAGTAATAATGAGATACAAATATCGTTATTACGGTTAGACCATCACAGGTGGTATTTTCTACTAGTGAAGTAAGTAGCCGATCTCACAAATTAAAGTGTGGTGACATTTAAAAGAACACATGAATGTTTTATTATAGAACAAAATATTGGAGAATCATTGAAAAGATTCCACATGGATAACTTATCTGAGTGTCTGTGGTTAATATTTTACGTTTGGTAGTGAAATTAATCCTTCGACTTGAGGTCATATAGTGCCTTATATGAGGGTGGTCATACTTTGGTGATATTGGATGTTACTCTGCTAAGAATTGCTAATACGACATCGTTCGGGTATGTCAAGAATTATATGAAGGTTGTGAATGATTAATAGATGATTCGTCACTATAATAAGAGATTATTATCTACATTTCATTCAATTAAGTTGATAACGAAACCATTGGTCAATGTGTACTCATAAGTCGAAAAAAAATTAGACTTACATTAATTTAATAATGAGATGAAATTTATGATCATAATTAAGATTAACAGATATCCATATCTCCTAATTGATTGAATTATATTGACGAAAGGATTATAGTTTCACAGCAAACGAACAAATTTGGTTTTGCCATGCCAGTGACATTTTTCGTCATATATATTGTTCTGATATCATTTTGGGACAACGGATGTGAATTTTTGACAAATAAAAGGAGAATTTTAATTTAGTGATTTTGATTATATCAAAATAATAATTCACGTCGTTGGCATCGAGAATATAATGGGTCACACACAAAAGGAAAACCAAAAGAATGAGATTCAACAATTAATTAATTAACAAGTGTTGAATAATTGATTAATTATGTTACTTGTTAACAAACCCAAATTAATTAATTGGATTAATTAATTCATGAACCAAATTTAATTAATTAGATTAATTAAATATTGGATCGGGTTAAGTTTTAAGAGATGGGACAAGTCACTTAAACTTATATTAATAAGTCATTACGGTTTCAGAAAGAACATAACACAATTCATTATCTTGCTAACACAAGAAAGAGAAACCATAATCTTCTCATTCTTACTCACATTGGAGGTTGGACAATTGGACAACCGTGATTTGCAGATCGTGATTGTTCGTATTCTAAGATTAGCAAAGTATTTTTTTAGAATCTACAAAAATTATAATTCCTATCACGGCACAAAGAAGATTCTTAGTCGAAATTGAAATTATTTTATTTCTCGTTGTTCATGATTAAGTAAATTCCTAACAATATGATATACTATCTCACCACTATGTCATATCAAAAAAATGTTAGAATCAAAGCCACACCTAACAACACGTTTTGTATTTCCACATAATCCTTGCTTAGTTGGCATTTCGTATAGTGACTACGTGAAAAATCCGTTACAATTTAGCTCTCAACTAAGCAACTTCTGTCAATTTTGCGAACTGCGGGCATTAGAGTGATGAAATTTAAAACTACATTGAAGTTTATTGAGCCAACTAAGACAACTTAAAATTAGTGATCGAATTGAGAGTGCTTTAAAAGTTTGATGACTGTGGATAATATTAACCATATTCAACAAAAAAGGGTAATTGGTGCAGAACGTCCCTATCTTTGCATGTTTTTGTGCAAAAACGTCTATACTTTTCATTTTTTGGCGCAAAACGTCCCTACCTTTCACATTCTTTNCCAAACCGCCGGATATTGGTCCCAACATGTTCTCCTCATTACCCTTTACAACTACATACCAAGAACTCTCCATAATTCATTGTAATTTGGCCGAAAATCAAATTCAGAAATTGCAGCCTGATAATCGGTCAAACACCCACAACTCGTCGTCCGGCCACCCGACCGGTCGGAATCCACCACTGCTCGACTCCTCTTATCAAGTTGAAGCTACCTATGTAAACAATTTCCTCCAACAAGCAACCAACAACAACCAATTTCAAAGCAAAGACAGTCCAGTCGTGAGTTCGCACCAACGAACATTTGAGACCCAGATTGAAGATGATTGGAGCCAAATTGAAGGGGACCCATGGCGGGCTAGGTACCTGGCGCACCCAGCCCAGGTGTTCCGCCACCATGGGTCGTCACGGCGGGGCCTGAATTAGAGGAAAACTGGTGCGGTGTCGCGACAATCGTGACGGATAGCTTGCAATTTGAAATTCAGATCTTATCCTTGCTGTTTGGGCTAAATTGTTTGCATGGTCGAGGTCCTCCTGTGTAGGGGAGTTGGCCGGTGGTATGTTCTGGCCAGGAAGGTGGCCGGATGGCGTGATTCCGACTTTTGACTGCATTTCATGCGGCGAAGTTTGAAGCTCGATTCCGGTCAAATCTGCCAGAGTTGGGGGTTGGGTGGGTTGTGAAGAGGGCAATGAGGGCTTTAAGGTGGTATGTTGGTTCGGCGGCCAAGGTGATCGGAGGTTGGGGATTTTGCCTTCAGAGGTGGCAGCATAGGGGCGATGATTTTTTCATATTTGTGACTAATTTGCACATTTTTAGCAATTTGAACCCATAATTGCAATTTATTCTTTTTTTTTTCGTTTCTTTCATGTTTATTTTATTTTAATAGAAGGGTAAAATGGTAAAAAAAAAAGACAAAAATGACGTTTTGCGCAAGAAAAGGTAAAGGTAAGGACGTTATGCGCCAAAAATGTAAAAGGTATGAACGTTTTGTGCCAATTACTCCAACAAAAATATTATATTAAACTCGAAAGATATGGACGTTTTGCACAAAAACGTGCGAAGATAGGAACGTTCTGAGCAAAAAAAACTATGGTTTGTAGATTGTGATTGTTCATGTTCCAAGATCAGCAAAGTATTTTATAGAATCTACAAAAATTATAATTCCTATCACAGTACAAAGAAGATTTTTGGTCAAAATTGAAATTATTTATTTCCTGTTGTGCATGATTAAATAAATTCCTAACAATATGATATGCTATCTCACCACTACGTCATATCAAAAAAAAAAAGTAATAATCAAAGCCACACCTAACAACACGTTTTGCATTTCCACATAATATTTTCTTAGTTGGCATTTCGTATAGTGACTACGTGAAAAAACCGTTACAATTTAGCTCTCAACTAAGCAACTTCTGTCAATTTTGCGAATTGCGGGCATTAGAGTAATGAAATTTAAAACAACATTGAATTGACCCATATTCGACAAAAAATATTATATTAAACTCGAAAGTTAGTACTTAATAATCGTGATCAATGATAAAATTTAACCAATAGTATCACATAGCTATATACGACATATAATATTATATTAAACTCGATAATTAGTACAATATTTCATAATTGAGCTTCTCAAACGAACCATCAATGCATGTTTGGTATACTGGATAAATAAGATTTTAATTTTTTTCTTCCTTGTACTATCCAATCCCCGTTGTCAACACCTTTCCAGGGTGAGAAGAATGATCTTCTATCCTATTTGTACAGGTACTTATTGAACATTTGAATAAAAAAGATCCAACTAAAAATCATCAAGGAATGTAATACATGGGATTGGGAAGCTTAAATGAACGTTTTGAAATGGAAGAACCCAACAAATCACTCCATTGATCTCCAGAATTGCCCATAATTCTGTAACCCTCTGCTTCCATTTCACTCCTCCTCTCCGATTTAAACGTTGTCGCTGTCTTCCCGTGATCCTCTGAGCCCCTGCACGGTTTTAAGAAAATAAGTTTTTGGAATAAAAATCTTCGGAAAAAAGGAATTTTTAGTTAAACTCAAACATAATTCACAAAAAAGTACTTATAAGTAACGTTACTTTATCGTAAGCACAATCAAGGATATGCATAACAGCATAAGCTTATAAGTAATTTTTTCCAAAGCAAGTGATTTTCTTTCAAGTACTTGTAGGTTTTTTAAGCCATACATGCTCTAGAGGTGCTTAGTTTTTAAAGAATAGCATCAAAACTATGACCAAAACTAAGACATATATTGAATACTAAATGCATTTCATCTCGTTAAATAAACAAGATAGGCGACGTAGGAAGCGTGTGTGGAAAAAAAATGTGTTAGGCATGTATAATGCATAAATGAAATTTGATATGGTTCGCGATGGCTCGAGGCTTTGCCCCAAGTTTTGCTCAAAAGCTCATATTTGCATGGAAATTGGGAATATTCGTCCAAATCCGACTCCATTAAACCAAAAAGGGGACAATTAACCAAAGATTCGCTAATATTTATTTTGAGCCTTAAATGTTCCCGAACAGCGATCCAATATATGTGTTAGGCATATATAATGTTGTATGCACTTATAATACACTCCACTACATTCAAATCTTTCTCAGCTCAAATAGAAAGGATAATTCAATTTCCTTATCCAGACTCCTAAAGGATAAAAAACTGTTCACAGTTGCAGCAAAAGATTTATCATTTGAAGGATAGAAAAATCAAATGGGCTACTCTACATTTTGAAAATCAAGGGTTCTTGAAAATCACACTTCAGACTTGTGAAAATCAAGGGTTCTTGAATTCAGGCTAATAAGGTAGCACTCTCGATCATCTACGCCTATCTCTCAGCAATCAAATTCCGACTCCCAATGTAGTTAATACTATACTGCTTTGCAGTCACGGAAAGTTTGATGCTACTTTTCACCTAATAACTATTCTTCAATATTCCTTCACTTCCTGCTTGAAAGTGATCTAATTGTACTACAAAATGATAGTAACAGAAGCACATATAAAAAATTGCCCAAGATTAATCATGAGTCATTACTAAGGTTTAATCTCGACTGAAATTCGCCACAAATAGCTTTTAAGTACAATGACACCTTGAAAAGAAAGATTCTCTTGTTCATCATCTCAACTTGAGCATCCATTATGAAATTATGCCTTGATAAGAATTAATTATTTTCATTTAAATCTTATCCATCATCTCGTCTTCTAGGTAAAGTTCTATATGGACACAGGCGTTTTCATACTTTGTCTGAGAATTAGCATTTGTTTGCGCAGTTGAAATCCGCAGTTAATGAACGACATGTTGCTCGTAGAGAATTATGAAACAAGGTTACTGAATGGGTATTATAAACAAGAGTTTGCCTAGAAAATCTTATCATACCTATTATCAGAAACGAGAAATTTCAATACTAACCTCAATAGGAGCTTGTCGTAATCCTGAAATCCAGCTTTGATCAAATTCTCAACGGTAACACTTCTATGCCTTTCACTTCGCCCAGTCAGCAAGACCACCTTGAATCCCAACCCCAAAACCTCTTTGTAAAGCTTTAAACTGGACTGTATAGCAGGAGCCGTTCCCTTCTCGACCCATTTATCAAACTCCACGCTATCAAAAAGCTCCAACCTACACATCACCACCAGAGACCGCATATCAGATAACTGAAATCACATAAAAAAATCTCTTAGTAAGGGTTTCCAGTTGAATGCTTAGCAAATCACAAAAACTCATCAAATAAGCATAATGATTTAACATCATGGACATATTTTGGCATGCCGCATCCGACACGACACGACACGACAATATACCCACAGTCAAGCCCAAACATGCCACAAATGTCATATTTATTATTCCACATTTCCAATCATAGCAAGAGAAACATCCAATCAGAAATTGCACCCACAAACAAAGACAAATCCAGTAACTGTTCAAAGTATCCACCTAATAACCATTGTCATACAAGAGAATTGGTACAATATCTCAAATTAAAATCTAAAGACCAAATCAATTAAAAATTAATTCTTAACAAAATCCAAGAACAATTCTATAATATGGTATCAAACCTTGAAAACAAAACCAAAGAATAATGCCCTTATCCCAAAGCCCCAAAAAACAGCCAATTCTTGCTGCAATGCACAAGGCCAACCATAATTAAAAATTAAATTTAATCTTAAAAGAAAAGTAAAAAATATTACCCATAATCATGTTCAGCATAATAGGGAAGATTTGAAAGCAAAGTCTCATCTATGTCAAAAATCCAAACATCTTTCCCATCTCCATTCAACTCCACATTTCTTGCATAAATTCCAGCCTCGTTAGAGACCCTTTCAAGATCAACTTCATAACCCCTTCCAAGCAAATAATCCTTCACATAATCAGCACATTCTGCTGGAATACTCTCCCATGGACTTAAATTATTGGCCTCCACAGCAAACCTCCAACCTGTACACTGTAATTGAATTTCATCTGTACATCCTTGTTTCACATTGGGTTCATTTCTTTCTGGGTATTCAAGAATCAAAGGCCTTTGAAAAGGGTGTAAATTTGAGTTTTCTTCAGAGAAAACAAAGGAAAATAGGGACAAGAAAAGGGAAATTCTTATCAAGAAACTCATTGTAGACCAAAGGAAATAATGCCTTGAAAAATACAGTATATGTATATGTATATAGAATTTATATGGTCTTAAAAAGAGTCAAGAAACGAATATGAATAAATCCTTCGAATTTCAAATACTTTTGGCCAGAAATAGTTTAGAAATGGAAAGATGCTTTCTTGATGTGGATATGAAAACCCTTCATACTAGTGATTCGGTTTGGACGGTGGGGATTATAGACTTTATAGAGACGTAAAGGAGTAATGAGAATGATAATATATAGATACAGATTTTTTTGTATCTATATATTTCCTCCACAATCTGGTCTGGATCGTTGGGCTCCTATTGATGCGTGTGTATTAATTTGGATTTGACGAAGACAACAGGAATTGAATGCTTTGGAGGATGCAGAGGAAAAGCATAAATTTTACAAGAGGTCATCAAACTTTAAAATGTTTCAATCAGATAACCGAACCTTTATAATTATTTCTATTAAGGTCACTATGACACATGCCGTTACTAAAATTAAAGACTTTCTTGTGTGAACGTTAACGGAATGTCAATGTGGATGAGGTGATTGGCACTAGGCATGCACATCCTCAATCTAACAGTAAACAAACACGACTAATTTCATCTGATCAAGCTTTTAATTCACAAGCAGGTCCTATTAGTTTTAGCGCTTGTTTGACAACAATTGGTTTGGAAAAATAGAGTTTTGAATAATAATTTTTAGGAGGATGTGTAATTAAATGTAAGAAAAAATTTTGAATTACGTACAGAATATTTTATTATGTGACTGATTAGAAATAAATATGTAGAAAAAAGGAGTTTGAAAATAATTGTTGTCGGACAGACACTTAGTAACGACGTGATGGAATGACCTCAATTGAAATGTTATGAAGTTTATGATTTGATTGAGGTAGTTCAATTATATGTCATTTATAGTTAGGTTACCCAATTGAAAATTCATTTATAGTTGGATGACCGTTGATAAAATTTATTTATGTCAATGCGTCCGTTAGGTTGGTTAGGTGACACTGTCACGTGTTGGATTATTTATTTCTGTATTTCTCAATATATTATCGAAAGTGTAAACGCTTTATAAAAATTATAGAAAGCTTAACCGCGTTATTATGTTAATAAATAATTTAATTTAATATGATGGATCACCGTGGCATATTAAATACTACGATTAAAATGCTTTAATAATTTTCTGCGGTCATTGCTGAAACAAATAGATTAGAATGATAGTTATGGAATAGGCTTTTTTTGGGGAAGAACGAGTTTTTAAATAGTAATTTTTTGAAAAATATGTAATTAAAAAATAGAAAAAGATTTTGAATTTACGTGAAAAATATTTTATCGCGAGATTATGGCTCAAAATGAGTATGAGGGAAAAAAAATTTGTTATCAAACAGGGACATTTGATGTCTTTTACATAAAAAAAAAATGAGTAATGCTACACTTATAGGTGCCTATGAAATAACATACATGGGGTTAGGGGCTACATATATAGATTTTTTAATACATTGGGGTGGGGCCTTGTGCTACAGTGAGGTGTAAGGCCCCTATGAAATTAAGCCCTGCACGTCAGCATCATATCATATCATATCATTTCATTTCATTTTTCAATCCTCCAAGTCGTTCTTTTGTTAATTTATCCTTAGTTAATACCACTTATTAACTTCGCCTATATTTTCTTTCTTATTTTTGCTACGCTCATCTTATGGATATTTCGTTGCTTATGATCCTAACGAAACGTGAATTTGTATATGGGAAAATGGGTAATTGGCGCAAAACGTCTCTACCTTTGCCGGTTGTTGTGGAAAACGTCCCAACCTTTGATTTTTTGGTGCAGAACGTCCCTACCTTTCACTTTTTTTTTGTGCAAAACGTCATTTTCCCTAATTTTTGACATACGATATACCCTCCAATTTAAATAAAACAAAAAGGAAAAGAAAAGAAAAATAAAAAATAAATTGCAATCTTACTCCTAAACTTTTTTAAAAAGGTGAATCAGTCCAAAACTTATGAAAAATGGGTGTTGGCTACACACACTCACTTTTACACAATCTTTTACACTTCTCTCACATGGAGGGGGGTCCACGATTATTTTATTATGTGTGGGCCCCCTTCCATGTGAGAGAGGTGTAAAAGATTGTGTAAAAAATTGTGTACACTTAACATTATTCTTATCGAAAGTGTAAACGCGTTATAAAAATTATAGAAAGCTTAACCGCGTTATTATGTTAATAAATAATTTAATTTAATATGATGGATCACCGTGGCATATTAAATACTACGATTAAAATGCTTTAATAATTTTCTTCGGTCATTGCTGAAACAAATAGATTAGAATGATAGTTATGGAATAGGCCTTTTTTGGGGAAGAACGAGTTTTTAAATAGTAATTTTTTGAAAAATTTGTGATTAAAAATTAGAAAAAGTTTTTGAATTTACGTGAAAAATATTTTATCGCGAGATTATGGCTCAAAATGAGTATGAGGGAAAAAAAATTTGTTGTCAAACAGGGACATTTGATGTCTTTTACATAAAAAAAATGAGTAGTGCTACAGTTATAGGTGCCTGTGAAATAACATACATGGGGTTAGGGGCTACATATATAGATTTTTTAATACATTGGGGTGGGGCCTTGTGCTACAGTGAGGTGTAAGGCCCCTATGAAATTAAGCCCTGCACATCAGCATCATATCATATCATTTCATTTTTCAATCCTCCAAGTCGTTCTTTTGTTAATTTATCCTCAGTTAATACCACTTATTAACTTCGCCTATATTTTCTTTCTTATTTTTGCTACGCTCATCTTAAGGATATTTCGTTGCTTATGATCCTAACGAAACGTGAATTTGTATATGGGAAAATGGGTAATTGGCGCAAAACGTCTCTACCTTTGCCGGTTGTTGTGGAAAACATCCCAACCTTTGATTTTTTGGTGCAGAACGTCCCTACCTTTCACTTTTTTTTTGTGCAAAACGTCATTTTCCCTAATTTTTGACATACAATATACCCTCCAATTTAAATAAAACAAAAAGGAAAATAAAAGAAAAATCGAGAATAAATTGCAATATTACTCTCTTAAACTTTCTAAAAAATGCAAATCAATCCAAAACTTTAAAAAAATCCCAAATCATCCAAACCCGTCTTTCTCTTAAAACTAATAAATAATAATTAAAAAATCTCAAATCATCCCTCACCAAGAACCCTAATCACAGCAATCCAATTCGAAATTCAAGCAACCCAAATCGCCCAATTTGCCATTCATAAATAATTTTGGATCCTCTAAATAATTTCGAGAAATACAGATGAGGCTGGAATATTAGCGAACCGCATTACTGGGCTGTAAGTTCTTCAAAGTTTTCAGCTTTTATTTGTATAATATAAAATCTGTAGTTAATTTTAAATTTGAGTAAATTCAAGGAAAAAAAGAATGAATTTATGGGATTAGCTTAGGCCCAATTCAGTATATGCCCATTCCAATTGCCTGTGCTCTGAAAAAAAAAAGCAGAAAAAATTGTGTATATACGTAGACAGCGCACTGCTTGGCTGCAATTTCCGACGATATTCCGACGATCCAGGGTCGTGCTTCAACGGGGTTAGGTGCGTCTCCACCTGGTGCACCTAGCCAAATAATGGGTCTTAACCAATTTGGCACCAAACAAAACGAATTTGGATCTGAACTCTTGGCTGGTGCAAACTTGGGAGCACAGAAATGGTTTTTTCACTTGATTCCTCTGCTTCTGTTTCATGTGATTCTTCCAATGCAGCTTCATCGACAATGGCCATTCTTCACTATCTGCAATATCTGTAGATGGAGATGAATGGCAAATTGGGCAATATGGGTAGCTTGAATTCTGAATTGGGTTGATGTGATTAGGGTTCTTGGTGAGGGATGATTTGAGATTTTTTGAGTTTTGGACTGGTTTGTATTTTTTAGAAAGTTTAGGAGTAAGATTGAAATTTATTCTTAATTTTTCTTTTCTTTTCCTTTTTGTTTTATTTAAATTGGAGGGTATATCAGTCATTTTATGTCAAAAATTAGGGAAAATAACGTTTTACACAAAAAAAGTGAAAGGTAGGGACATCCTACACCAAAAAATCAAAGGTTGGGACGTTTCCCACAACAACTGGTAAAGGTAGGGACGTTTTGCACCAATTACCCATGTGAAAATTGTTTTAATGTTAATTACATCCAAAGCTGAAAGCATGGATTATTACATCATAATTCAATTGAAAGTGAGACCAAGAAATAATCAGAATATGATATGTACCCTTAATCATGATTCTAGGGACATAAACACACTCCCTAATCAACAAATTACCAGTCATCTCTGCAATGTAAACTTCAATTTCTACAGCAAGAACTGAACTAGTATAGATGCATAAAGATCACCCAAATCCATTGCTCCTCTTTTATATTACCTTTTCACTGAATCGGCTACCTTATTCTCCAATCTTGTGAACATGAAGTTGCCAGTTAATATGGCTTCTTTGTCTGTCCACCAAAACCATAACTAGTCAAATAAATAGCATTCAACTGGCTAGAATCAGTTGGAAAATGTTAAATTCGAAATTTCTTTCAAGTATCCTATGGTAAAACAATATCGCAGCAGTAACATATTGATATAACAAGAAAATCCATTCATTCAGGCCAATTAGAAATTAGATTGAAAAGTCGAGTTTGGCGTCCTTCCTCTCTGCCTCTCTCTATTTTACCCTTTTTCAAAGGGAAGAGGTCCATTTTACCCATTTTTCCAGAAGGGAGCGAGGAAAGCATTAGTACATTTTCGTCAGCAGTGATTTCAATACACTAAAGAATTTGGGACTGGTAGAAGTTCTAATATAGCCACTATTTGGCCCCCATTAAATTACATTACATTACATTAAATTTTTCTATATCTTCATTACAACCACACATTCATCAAATAAAATAATATTACACACAAATCTAAAACTTTTCATTACTTTAGATAGTGTGTAAGAGGGTAGTTAGTGATAAGGTTTTTTTTTCAACCATCAAAAATGCAAAATAATGGGGGCCAAACAGGGGCATATACTCTCCATTGTTTTTTGGTTTTTTTTCCCCTCGCTCCCTACCTTCCTTTTTTTTTTTTAGTTGTTTTCGGGCTGGGTAATAGCAGAAACACAATCTTACCAACGTACAAATGCTTATAAAATAAATTTTACCAACACTAAAAGTAAATGCATACCTGTTAATGACAAACAACTGGTTTCCCGATCTACGTATCTTGACATGGCCTAAAATGCCAAAAGAAACAAATAAAAAAGTTTGGTGCACCATTAATTTCAATACATTAAACAAATGATCTATTCCTTTCATACAGGGAACAAAAAACTGCAAGAAAAGCAGCACGTTATCCGTATTCATTAATTAATCCAACAGAATTCGTACTTGTAAGGGTCCAAAAGAAAAATACTTTTTCCCTCATTAAAGACTAAACATATCCAAGCATAAGAGGATGCTTTATGGCCAACTGCACCCAAAATTACCAAACGATTTACACAGACAGAGATTACTAGTAGTTGTTGTTAACATGTCTAGGTGGTGACATGTGTTTGAAATGTATAGCATTTTATTTAGTCATGCTATAACAGGAGAATAATTTAATATCAATACTATCTGATCAAAATTTACCTCAAGCAATAATTTTTTGTAACTAACAATCTATTTAACAGACAAGAGATGAGAGCTTGCCTGGACCACGGGTAATGCCACATCACTTGGTTTTGATGAACCATCATCAGAGAAAACATTCCTACAACTCATGTAAACATCATTAATATTAATAGATATTAAGATGCACAGTATCCAATATCTTTAAATGTTCTTAAACCACAGCAAACCAGCCAAAGTTTTTAATCAGTTAAATTTTAGCATAAACTGAATTCTTTTGACTGTCCTTTAACTTGAGGACATTTACACGTTTACAAATACAGTTCAGTCCTCATCATTAGTCTGATATAGTACTTGGATCCCAACTCTTTCTTCCTTAGCTTTTAAGTCCCCAATTTTGGTTCAAAATACATTTTGGAATAGTATTTAGTTGGAGAATGTGTGGTTAAAAAATAAGGAAACGTTTTGGGTTTGCGTGCAAAATTATTTTATGGGAGAATGTGTTTCAAAATGAGTTTTTGGAAAAATGGAGGCCAAACATAGGCAATATGTACTTCCCAATGTTTCCATTCACTGGAACCATTAACTGTCATGTGATTCACAAGTGATGGATATTCGTTGAATAGACAATTCTACCCTCGCTTTCAATAAACAAAAGAAAAGGAAATAGAGGAAAAAATTACGAAAAAAGGATAACCTACTCGCTGCCACTGAGACACTCAAGCTCAACAACCTCCAATCTACCTCTCTCCTCCTCCTCCAGTCCACCCACCTCAACATCACAGACGGCAAGAAAGAGTAAATTATAAGAAGAAGAATAAGGAAAAAGCGACTTAGGAGAAAAGCGGTCCCTCGCAAGATCTGAATGGACGTCTGATTCACAGAAATAATAGAAATAAATGCAGCACAATATTCTTCTAGTATTCGTGTTTCTAATGAAGCTTCTAATGGCTGTTTAAGATTTTACTTTCTGCAAACCCTTCGAAAACCCAAACCTTACTCCAAATTTACAAACAACCAATGCTTCCAGATCTAGATAAATGAAGGTCCCAAAAAACCCTTTTCTTCGAATACTAAAAGGAACCCCTACTTGCTATTATCATAGGCAGTATCGGAAAACTAATTAAAAAGAACTTTCACCTGGTTCTGGCAATCCAATAATTAAATTGATATAAAAGATCAAAAGAATTTGCTAGAATATGGCCCCAAGTGAACCAATCAGTCAGCTTTGAAAAACCTAAAAAATAATTTCAACAGTTGATGATTCAATCTTGGAGGTTGTTCACCTGGAGACTTAGTCTCTATTTGGTTTAGCTAAAAAAGTTGATAAAAATCTAAGTCAAAATCAACAATTAATTTATCCACACATTTCATGGGACATTGGGACCCTCAACTTTCATCAACTTTTCAACCACACGTTTCCCTCAACTTTTATTAAAATCTATTAAAATCTGATTTTTAGGTTTAATTTCTTGCCTTGTTGAAGCTGCCAATTCTATACTGAAAGAAATCTCCAGCAATAGCACCGAGTGTTGTCTGAAAATGAATTTTTGGTAATAAATTCGAGACAAAATTATTTAAATTTCATCAAATTTGGTAACAAATAAAGAGAGATTCTTTTTCTGCAAATCTTTTTCCCATAAAAATATCCCCGGAATCCGCCTCAAGTGCAAGTAACATGAAGGTTTAATGTTCTAACAGACAGAAAAAAGCAGAAAAAATGAACTTGCTACTAAATTGTTAGAATTGAGGACCCAAATGCCAACAAAATTTAAGTCAGGATCCAAGTGCTGTATTATCCAAACAGTGGGAACTGTGGCTACATTCTCTCTGCTGTTTATCATTTTTTTCTAAACTTCCAACAGAGCTTCGCTGGTAGCTTAATATATCACTCATCAATAAACCATGCCAAACCAATACTAGAATCAAAATTCTGTCAAATGCCTAACCTCCAAATAACACTTTGTAACTGATCCTGCCTGCCTTCACGAAGCATAGAGGCATCATAAGCAACAATGTTTCCATAGAATATCTTCTCCAAATCTTTCATCCATTTAGTTAACAGCAAGTTTACCTGCAATGTCAAAGTGATAAAATGGAATAAATTGACAAAGTGCTTAGATAGAAAAAGTAATTGTCTATAATGTTCTCAAGTGATGTGGGACCTTTTAAAAATTACTTGTTTGATAGAAACTTAAGTTTTCATCGGACTGAAAAGACACAGAATATAACGAACACCTTCTTTTGGACTTGAAAGAAGAAATGATATTAATAAGCATTGAATTAAATATGCAACAAACATTTAGGTACAGATAACTGACCCCAGCCTTGGAAACTCTCAGTTCAAGATCATGATTGTACATCTCATATAAGTATTGCCCCAACTCAACACCTTCCTTTCCCTCTTCTTTTAAGCGGCGTAAGCAAAGCCACATATGGATTACAAGCAAGGAGAATGTTGTTTTAAAGGTTTTCTCCAAGCTAAATACTGCATGTAAAAGGTACTGCTCAAGTTAAACTTACATAAGTGTAAAGATAAGATAGCAAACAAAAATAATGATGGGTAATTGGGTATGTTTGTTCAAACACGAGCATCAGATTTAGTTTGATCAAAATCAAAAGACAGGAGACCTGCATGCCAAAACTTTCATATATAGGATTTTGTTGTATGTGCACTTCAGACATCATAATTCTTCTTACGGAATGCAACAAATTATTCGTGAGAAAGAACTATGAGCAATCCCCTTTTGAATCTGTTGTCTTGCCCAAGTTGACCTTACCCTCCTAAAAGACCCACATGGACACATAGTTTCTAGAGTTAGCTTCCATAGAATCGGGCATTTTATTAATACAAGGAAAATGTGATAGAGTTTGGGACACTAAGGAGCTCCGGCCGGCCTCTACTATATAAACATAAACTTTGAGGTAGTTTTGTCAAAGGTGTCACAAACAGGAATGTAGAGGCTTCTAAGTAGAGTATCCCTCGGAATACTGCCTACGAGTGATTAAAAACAGGAAGGAGAAATATATATATATACATATATATATATGAGATGATTGCCATTTGATTCGAAATAAAGGAGTTAATAGTTTTTCCCATTCCCACACCATCATTTACTTGAACAATTACACCAGTTCAAGAAAAGCAAAAAAGTATAAATCCTGAACTCCTACACTTCCAAACAAATTAAATACAAAATTAGATTGCAACTTGAAAAATACGGTGATATTGTTGTTCTCCAAAATCAATTGGCATGTCTTAAACGTGTGCCTCTCACAAAGATGGCATAGAATACGGGTAAAACAATCCAAACAAAATTGTTTCGTCTTGTAAAAATGTTTGGCCTTGAACTTGAATATATTCTGCACCATTATGCATGTAGAATGATGCCTTTTTTCTTCTAAACACATATAGTGCACAAGAAACACAAGAAACCACAACTCATCAGAGCACGAGGAGCTGATAAATGACGAGCATAAGAAAACAAAATACTAACCGTCATAAATAGCAGGCCTGTCAACTTGATAAAGAACGCGGCTGTAAATCGCATTTGCCCATCGAATGGACTGGCTTTGTTTACTATAGAACAGCATGAGCCTGAGGATAACTAGCTTAAAGCCCTCGTACTTGGGATCTTCAATTCTTTGTGGTGAATCACGTGGCAACGCCAATGAACAAGGCTTGGACCAAAACATCTTGTTCAAATTCACCTAAATGCGTGTTCTTTCATTAACTCTTAGCAAATTCACCAAAAGGCATGTACTATTGTCAACCCATAAAAAAATTAAACATGCGTTAAAAGTTATAAATTTTAGCATGGAGTAACAAACAAGAGAAATAATGATATACATGAGTTCCTTTCATTAAACAACCCAATATTTCAGTTCAATTTTTTCACCCTATTTTTTGCTATCAAATAAATGATTAACAAACAGGAAAAAGAAATAAGTACGCCGTTGTTACAAATCACGTTTATTTCTTGGGAAAATGTAAGGTTTTGCATCAAATATCATTTACTATTCTAAATCCCAAAAGCCTTTTCTCCTCTTCCACTAAAATCCCTGGTTGAATCTGCGATTTCCTTACTAACCCAAAGGTTAGGCCACAGCTATACAATTTGCAATATTACCCCTTTCCCCATTTTATGAACCCACCCATCCCCACTCCACAAAACCTCCAATTTATTTTTTATTTTTTTATAAATAACAATTCTCCAAAGAAACGTTTTTATTACAAAAAGTAAAACAGAAGAAATGGTGATTTATCATTCTATCTTTTCCATTCCCCATTTAGTAATCAAGAAACATAAATCCAGACCACTGCTAACCAAAAATTAAAATCCACCATACACACAAAAGCATACGACAAGCACTTTTAAACAGGCAATATTTATTTTTAACATATCGTTTATCTCATCCAATTGTAACTCAGATTTTCAACAAGAACGCAATGCAGATATCGATTATTAGATATATTAGTACGAATAGTAAAAGAAACGAACATTTAAAACTTCTTACCTCTGGTCTGCTAGTGTAGGTTTTCTCAGCGGATTCGAGAAGATCTGGCTCTGCAGCAGCATTCTTTGAATAATTCTGATATGAAAAAGAATGAGAACATTTTCTAATAGTTTCAGTGTTCCTCTGGAAATTATTGGCCGGATATATTTTGGAAATCGCCCTTCTCCACCTTAGCAACATGTTCTATTAATTTTTTCCTAGCAAGAATCCATTATAATGATTAATTCTCTATTTTAGGGAAGTTTAAGCGTAAAAAAAGGGGACAAAAACAAGTAATGAGCGTGTTTGTATGCAGACCTGAAATGTACAGTCTATTGGATATCTTCTTCAATGGGATTTCGATTTTTATTTACGTTTGCTTATTTCCCCCTTTAAATCGTTAAGAAAATTCCTCGTTGATTCATGAACCCTATAAAAGAAGGTTGTGCTACGGGTACCCAAAAGAGTCCGTACCCATAGCATTTTCTAGAGATAAATAATTTTTGGGAAGTATACATAAATCCTGCTTTTACTTATACACATTTCAAAATTGAGGTTAGATGTTTTAAATTTCAAAAATCAGGTTTTTATTTAAATTTATTTATGAATTACTTAATTACTTATATATTTTATTAATAAATATATAACGGTTACAGATCTATACAATTTGGTCACAATTCAAAAATTTTAAGGTCACAATTC